GTATCCATCAACAATCGAAAGGCGAACTGGGACTATTTTACGGGGTATGCGAATTGCTAATTTGCGCTAATTTTCGGAATCCCTTGGGTATTGAGTCATGCTGCTGCTACAACAACAGCCAGCCCCTGTTAAGGGGATGTGCCTGGTACTCTGATCATTTTGAATATACAATATTGTGATATTGATATTGAAGAAGCAATGCCGAGCTCAGATTTTTTGCGTACTACATATTTCGTCATAATTTGTCCAAAAAATTAACATTGTTTGCAACCGTAAATTGCTAATACATATGCATGTACATAAGTATTTAATTCATTTAATTTCTTCAAAAATATTTTTCAACCTTGACAGCGAATTCCTCGAATGTCTATTATAGATAGTATACTATATTATTATCACAGCTATGTTTGACCTTCTTTGACTTCTCGCTTAAGTTTACAATTTTATTCATAAAAATTGACACGCAAGTAAACGCATGCGAGTGTCCGACGAGTGAGTAAACAAATCTGAATGATAGAAACTACGTAATTTTAACTAATAAACTGTAATAAAAACCTGCGAACAAGGTTGTTTATAAAATAGCTGCGATGAATCATCATCCAAATTCCTCGAAATGAATAAGCTGGACTTTCCAATACACTTGCAAAAAAAAACATATCACAGAACTGTGTTAAATTAGCACAATTGACGAAAAGCTGAGCTTGACCAACGTCACAGCTCTCACTCGTACGCTATTGGCCGGTGGCGGTGGTTCTGCGGTGTGGCTATCAGCCGTCACGCGTACTCGTGTGTCCGACATGTGCTCATCTAAGTGCGGTTAGCGCGCGAAGCTTTCATTCATGTTTATTTATTTCTCTGCGTGCTGCCCACCTCCACCAACCACCAATTTTTTCCATGCGCATGTCAGCCAATGTGTCGTCTAGCTGCATCGTTGGCGTGTGACTCCTCGCTGGAATGCCACCAGCGTCGGAGCTTACGCGTACGGCGTTGCTAATGCAGTGTACCATCTTCTTTCATGACTTTCGCCCAAAACGGTGCTGACTCATCCATCGCACACGTTCAAGCTTCATTGGCACGACAAATGGAGTGGAGTGGAGTGGAGTGGAGTGGAGTGAAATGCGGCGTGCGACCCAGAGCGCGTCATCAACCAAACGCCCTAATGCATCGCCACTTGATCATGCCAATTTCCAACGCCACAGCGAATTCCATAGCTACTTCATACATACATACATAAAAATTAGCGAAGGCCTGGCGCAACAATTTGCAAGAGAGAAATTTTAAATCAAAATCTTTGGCCATGAGTCACTGACGCTGCACGCGCTGGAGCTGGTCGCTGGTTCCGTTTGAGGCGGCGCTCACTAGTGCCTTGCTTTGCTTGACTAGTGTCTTTGCATACAGTTTTTTTCCCTGTTTTTTTTTTTTTGCTGATTCGTTCTTGGCAAATTTCTCACGTTCTTTCGCGCTCTCACGATAAAAATTGGCATGATAGAGACGACCTCCGTGACTGCATATGCGTCGCCGCAAGCGGATCAAGGCTTATTAGTAAAGTGCGTTTGCATCCGGGAGGTGAATATGGCACCTTAGGGATTTTTAATGTTGATGGTAAAGGTATGATTCATAGCGGCATGAGCATAAGCATTTAACATTTTATGCCGTTCGTAAAATGTAAGTTCTTATAGCCGTAGCTGAAGATCGATCAAAATTACTAACAGATATCTCCCTTCAGCGGGACAAGCCTGCAAAACCAACCTATAACAAACACCAAATGAGAAAGCTTTCAGACAAATTTATTTCTAAATATTTTTAAAGAGGGTTGCCACCTGTTAAGAAATTCAAATACAATATACTTAAAAGGTCAAACGAAATGTTTTAATATGGGTATCAAACGAGAGAGGGTTAAGAAAACTTTCTTTCGCAAATACTTGGTTAAGAGAGTTGCCACCCGTTCAGAAATTTAAAACTGTTTTAAGCAAACCTACTAATATTATAAATATGAAAGTTTGTGAGTTAGTGAGTGTATATGTTTGTTGATAAGATGAGGACTCTTACTGCAGATCTGTTGAGTTTCAGTATGTCCCCTGCCTTTTTCCTACTAATCCGCGGCCACAATAATCTTGTGGTTTTAAAGTCTTCCCGCTTATTCCACAAGTAATTCGTCACGGCCACGGTGTACTCATTAATTTTCCTAACGTGATCCCTAAACGGATGTAGTACGTAGCTATCCGCTACTTTTATGGGCATATCTGAGTCGCATCTGGTCATCTCATCAGCCGACTCATTTTCTTCAATATTACTATGTCCGGGAACCCAGCATAGAGTGACGTTGATGCGGCTCAGTGATGCCAGCGTGGTGCGACCATTCCATGCGATTTCAAAAATAAAATAATGGCTTTGTCTTCTGGAAGTCTACTACATACTAAGTAAAAGATTAGCCTCCCTCTCTATAGCGTAGATCTCCGCTTGGAATACACTGCAGTCGTTCGGTAGGCAAAAGAACCAGTTGATCTGCAGGTCCTTCGAGTAGACACCGCCTCCGGTTCCTTGTTTCATCTTTGAACCGTCATTGTAGATGGATATACCACCCTCATCATATCATGTTAAGCCCTTCCTGAGGTGCGCTACTCACTGCCACCCGATATGCCAAAGCATACAAGTCTTTGCACTTTTCCTATTATTTTCTTGTTGCTCCCTTTGTCTAGAGCCTTCCACTATACCAAGGATCCATAGGTGATGTACGGTGATAAACTGCTGCTATAGATTTCTTGGCTTCCTCCTCTAATTTCTTTTTCCAATTCAACTTGGAGTCCAGAATAATTCCAAGGTATTGTGCCTCGGAGGAGAGTTTCAAAGTAGATTAACCAAAGTAAACAACAAATTAAAAATTTTTATCTACATAATGTTTAGATTTCAAAATTTTTAGCGTGAATTTTTAGAATATTTTTGTATATCTTGGAAAAATTGGGTATAAAGTATTTTTATAATATTATTTTTTTGCTTTAATTTATCGTGATCTGACCTAATGAACAACTGTTTAGACAAAAGTAACAAAATTTGCTTTGCTGTCGTCGTGTCAAGCGAAACTTAGTTTACCAGAGTGTTGCTTATAGAAAACAAAATTTATGCAACAACGCAATTGAAAGTCAAGAAATGTCCAATTATGTGTAATTTATGCGCCTATATTAGAATTTCTAATACAGTTTTTCTCAAAAAAAAAACACCTTGAACCTGAACCTTTGACAATAAGAAAAAAATGTAAACTATATTTAAAATGTATCGCAAGCACTGAAATACATACAAATGTACACACATATTTACATGTATATGCATGCTTGTACAGGCATAACATAATCGCGAAATTAAACACCTAAACTCACTCGAATTTAGAAAACCCCAAACAAAACACGTAAATAGTCTACGTAGTTGACAGCGACACATTTTATGGAAAAATAAGTTAAATTAATGCCAGAATCAAAGTAGAGGAGGAAAGAAAGAAGCACAAGCCCGAATCCGGCGAAAAAATAATGACATAATTGTCATTGTAAGTAGGAATATATATATGTATGTACATAAATATGTAAGTATGTATGCACTACTAGTCGTGCGTTTTTTTTTTTTCGTATGTAAATTTATATTAGTTAAATATGTGCGTACTTAGTATTTGTTGTACTCTAACGATTTAGGTAATTCAAAGGGGGACTTTGCTCATTGAACGTTGATGCGCGCACGACGCTAATCAGTAGCTACAAATTTGTTTACATATTTAATAAATATGTATGTATATTTATAGTATAGAATAACCCAGTCAACAAAAATCAATAGTAATGCACTGCCGGTCACTTGAATTACGCTACCTTCTGATCCTCAGTATTGACACTATTCATTTTGTTTATTTAAAATTCAAGCATTTATGTATAAATAAATTTAATTTTTTTTTTTTAATTTTGATGAAAGTTTGAAAATCGTATTTACATGGGTTTTGTTATAGAAGGATATTCTATTCATCAAAATTTTAAACATTTTAAACAAGTAATTTTTAAGCAAAATACACAACCGACTTCAATTCTCATATAAAAATTTAGGAGTACCGTTAATTTTTGCATGATCCAATGATCGAATCTAAACCAAATTAGTATGGGACCACCTGTGAGACACTACCTTTCCGATGGAATTATCGAAATCGGTTGACGTGGTCCAAAGTTATGCAGTAACATACATAGAAAAAAAAATATTCCTTCGGTTAAAAATGTAATTATTTGTTTTTTGTTATTTTTGACCTTTATAACAATGATATTCAACAATTTGAAAAATTTGTTCTGGCGAGAAGGTCTTTAAAATCTCTGCGTTTCTAAATCTAAAATCACTCAAGGTTGAATTGCATTTGATCTGGCTGAATTGCATTTAGCATTTTGTTTTCCCAAGATCGCTACTAGTCGGAAGTTCAAAATAAGTGCTAGTGAATTCTTATGATTCAAAATTAGAACCCAAATAAGATGATCCCAAAACCTAAAAAATCCTGAAAACAATCTCAAAGGCACGAAGAATTCTAAAAATTATCCACAAGAAATCTTAATAAAATCTTAAAAACCCCCAAATACAACCACACCGTTCATTTTGTTATCCATTACCAAAATCAAAAACACAGAGAACCCCGAGAAGTCCCAAAACAAATCGTGAAGTGTCCTAAAAATACCAAAAGTTCACGAAAAGTAAAGCACAAAAATGCCGAACAGTCAAGAAAATATTCTGAGCGAATCAGAAAAGTCTCGACTTTTTTCATTCCAAAATCATAAAATAATAATCTGCCATTGGAGGCTTACATGGCGCTGATTAAAATCATCAATTTTAACCATCCTCGTGAAGAGTACTCTCTCATTCTTGATGGAGTCAACTATCCACCTTGTCATTCACCATCCATTTCAACTTGCATATATAGAGAAGCCTCAAAAACAACATTTTTTAAACCAAATCAAATTTACGCGTTATCACTTGTCGCGACTCACCTTCATATATGGCTGAACATGATTTATGGGTTTACTGGGTAGATTTCCATTTGCGCGCTTGCTGTTGTATTCCACGGCCTCTGTGTCTGTGCTCTCGTCTGCAGCTGTAATGATGACCTTCACGGGAGATTTTAAGTTCTTCGCTGCTATTCTCTCAGCTATCGTTTTCGTTGCTGATGCAGCTGATGCATAATTCACTGCTGTTTGCGGCGCTGATAAGAACAAAGCTTTCAAATCATTTACGGAACAACGTTCGGTGCCGCCGCCTTTGCCAATATTTTTCTTGATTGTATAGTGATTTTGCTGTGTGTTCTTATTTTTAAAATCTCTACTATCTTCCTCCCCATAGCGGCTTTCACTATTTGCTGTGCCCGTACGCGCTTTCATTAGTTTCGCAAATTCTTGTTCGATTGTCGAGATTGTTGGTGTGCGCTTCGAAGCGGCTGCAGTTGCTGCCGGACTTGTTTGCGACGGCGGCGGCGTTCCTGTTTGCCCACCGTCTGGCGGTGTTCTCACTATCGTTGGGGTCGTTGTTGTTGTTGTTCCTGTTGTTGTTGTTGTTGTAGCTTTAGTTGATCTCGGCGGTAGTGTATTTGTTTTCATATTTATCGCTTGTCGCTGCTGCTGCTGTTGACTGGTTGTTTTGCTGGTGGCGGCGGTGGTGCTGATATTGCGTATTGTTGTTGCGCTAGCTTGTTCGTGCCTGGATGATGATGATGACAGAATCGTTGTCATCGCTAATGGCGTGTTGGGCGAGGTTTTCGCTGCTGTTGTTGTCGTTGTCGTTGTCGTTGTCGTTGGAGCTGCTAGCGCTGGCAAAGATGATGATGATGCAGTCGTACTGATTTTCGATCTTGCTGGCGTTGAGTTTGTTGTTGCTGTTGTAAAGTCTACTAATTCGTCCAGCGCTGCAATAGTTTTAGCAGCAGCAGCAGCTGGCGTCGTTGCTGTATTTATGGGTGTTTTCAATGTTGTTGTAGCCTGCTCCGTTGTGGATCTGGTTGCTGTTGTATCGCCGCTGGATTTTGACTTACGCGAAACGCAATTCAGTGACATTCGCCGATTGCCGGAACTCTTGAAAAATCCACTTGGACTGCGATTATGACTCTGTCCACGTTCGGTTTTGTTGTTTTTATTGTTATTGCTGTTGTTGTTGTCTGGCAGTTGCAAAGACGAATTTTTACACCAAAAACTACTCATACGATTGCCCATGCCGAAGCGTCGTCGTAAACACTTAGCGTCCTTTGTGAAGGGTGAGCGGTGGCAAAGAAAAACTTTTTAGGAGAAGGGAAAGGACTGGATTTTGGCTTGAAAGTATTCTCTATTTTTTTTTTCTTTTCGCTATGCACTAATGAGTAAAATTATTTATATTCACGCGCGTGTTTTTTTTTTTTTGGGATTTGCGTCACATCTTCTTCAAGTACTATACGAAAACAACAACAATAATGTAGCAACAAATGTGCGCTGACGTTTTTGCGCCTTAAAATATGCACTGAGTGAGGTCACCGTATGGCGCGTTTTGCGTAATTTTGAAATAAAAGCGCTGCGCTAGCGTTTTCTTTTTTTGCTTATTTTTTATAAAAAAATAAATTATTCGAAATTGAAAAACATTTAATAAATGTTCGTTAGTTTTATCGTATAAATTTGTATGTTCGTTTGTCACTTGCGCGTTTCTGCGTATATTCGTAAATTCATACTGGGTGGCGCGGCGTACAAAAATATTGTATTAATTGACGAACCGGCGCGAATCTCAATTCAGCAAATACTGAAATGGGAATTCTTTCAAAACCTCGCCGCAAGTCACACCGCTTGTTCAGCGCGCAACGCCAAGCATTCAGTTTGACGCTCGTGTGCTACGCAAACAAGCGCGCACACACACACACACACACACACATGCGACATGCATACATACATGAAAAATGCAAAGAACAAACAAAACGAGCGTGGAATGAGCCAAACGACCAACTAACCAGCCAGCCAGGCAGCCAACGAAATAACCAGCCAGGCAGTTAGCCTGCTAGTGATATGAGCGGCACCCTCGAGCGCCGTTCACGCCGCACCCACTGCCAATCCAGCCGCTGTCCCGCTAACACTTTGGCTTCACATATCTACACAGATATTAATTTACGCGCATATCTTTGTTGTTGCTACTACTTTGTAATCGATTCTGGTTGGTTTGTTTTGTTTTGCCATTTTTATTCGTTGGTTTTTTTTCGTTTTGTTTTGTAATTCGCGTCTTCCTCTTGCGCTTAGTAGCCGAATTATCGAATTTTTTTTCAAATACTAACAAAAGCAATTCCTCAAGCGACGTGTATAACTAGCGCGCTCGACAATCAAATTAATAAATCTGGCGCGTTCAATAGCGCGCAACGCATACAAAGTGAAATATTAGGAAAAAAATTAGAAAATAAATATACAAAGCAGTAAATTCAAAAGAAAAGAGCGAAAATCGAATTACTGTACTATGGAAATTGAATTCGAAATATGTAAGTTGGTCGCATTTGTTGTGTCTGCCAGTGGCATGAAGTAGTGCAGCAGCAGCAATTCGCCGAAGCGACGCGGCGGGCGTTGGGTTGGCTCTGGTTGTAGTGGACGGCCGTTTGGAAGGCAATGCATGCGTGTGTGTGCGCGCTGCACTTTGAGGTCAAAATTTGCAATGCACCGACGACGATAACTGTGGTCTATAAATAGCGCGCGCGCACCACCTAACTAATTAACTACTTCCTCAATCACTTAGCACTGACGCAATGCGAGGAGTCAGCGCTGGCGTTAAAGCTAAAAAAAAAATTAGCACTCCAAACTTCTTTGAGGCCAACTACACGGAAATGGTGTTGAAACGCGCGCACGCAGGCACCCACTTAGCCACACCGCGCCAGTGCCATAACTCAAATAGTCATTTAGCGCCCGCATACGCCCTGTCGCCCTTTTTGCGTAGCCGTAGGTGCCGTGCAGCCAGAGTAGGGTGCGCCTTGAAATTTTGCCTGCTTTTTATGCGCGTGAATGCCTGGTCAATAACGACAACAACGTCATTATCATTAGAAATTCCACTTGCTCTGCCCCACTTTTAACTTCATCATCCCTTTAGCGTTCATTATCGCCGCACATTGTTGTTCGCACGCAGGTGTCACTGTTAAGCGCTATGTGGCCTTAAGCTACACGGACGGACGGGATGACCAAAGTGGGCAACCTGTTTTGCACACAAACCCGATCAGTTAAATCTGTGAATTATTGTATATCTAATGGCATAGTTATTGGCTGGTTTTACACTTATTTACAGGTGTTGGCATACAAACACGCGATTCTTTGTTTAATGTCTGTTGTTCTCGCCTGCTTTATTATAACTATTTTTTTTTCTTGCTGGGCTTGTCCATTTGCCACCTCCTTTGTTTGATTTGTTGCTTTACTGAGTTTTTGCTTTTTGATTATTATTTATGATTTGCTTTTTTTCTGCTGTCCCTGCTTCTTCTTTTTTTCCAATTTTCATTTTATTAGTGCTATTCTATTTGTATTCTAATGAATTCTATGCTTAATTTCGGAGTGTGTCTGCTGCTTTTGGTGTTTTCAATATTCATTCGCATTAATTAAGACTTTTATTTTAATAAATATGCAAAGTCATGACCTTTAAAGTGTCGAGGTAGCTGTTGCTTACGGTATTTTTTTATTATTTTTTTTTAAGAAAATCATGCAAAATACGCTGGCCAATTCTTGTTCTCTGAACAGCGAAACTTTAAATAAAAAAAGTAATTTTTAGAAACCAAAAAAAATTTGCGCTAAGTCTCTGATCACTAGTTATAACTTCTCATTCTTACAGAATATTCACCGATGACAAATATTTTTAAACACCGAAAACTTTATGGGGAATTACAGCAACCAAGTTGAGAGGAAAATATAGCTATCTTCATATCTTTTTGACTTACATATGATATGGATCAACAATCTTCAATTCAAGTTCACTATTTACATTTCACAAAAATGTATTTATGAATATATAATACTTAACACCTTTCCAACGTGTTGTAACACTTCAATCGGGTTACATACAAAAATAGTTATGTACACAGCGCGATTCTGGCTGTTTTTATTGCTTGTCGAGGACAAAAATTTATGACGCTAAAAATTTTCGTGATCCTGTCTAATGTACTTCTGCAGATAACTTTTGGAAAGATGTTTCAGCTTTTTGAGACCAATTCGACTATGTGAAATGCACTTAAAACGGAATTTAGGTGACTATGACATCGAAACTGGTTGGCCGACTCAAATCGAAAAAAACCAGGCACGAGAAAAAAATATTCTAAATACAAAAATCCAAATTTAGAGGCACAATTAGAGAACTATATTGGAGGGTAATGGTCAAACGATTGACATAAAGAAATTAGCACATAAAAAATTTTAATAATTGCAATGTCATAAAGTCTGAAAGTAATGCGGCCAAACTTATTTCCAATCTTGCTTAAAACACAAAATACTGGCGGAAAAATAATAATTAAAAAATACCAACGGTAATTTTTAGCTGCATATTGTTGGTTATGCTCAAAAATTATGGGCTATAAAATTCCATAGTTTAAATTGTTCAAAAAATTAAGAGTAAAAAGGTCGGAATTTAGACAAAAATTTTTGGAATTTTTCTAAATGTTGTATTTAGCTTAAATCTTTGATTTTTAAGTGTTAAGTTAAGCCGAAAATAATATTCTTATCAAAAAAAATACCAAAAAATGTTTGCTTAAAAAAAAGGTGAATATTAAAAAATATCACCAAGCTGACGAGGAAGCTGGAGCTGCGGTTTACTGTTCTAAACTAAAAATTTGCAGATAATTGAATTTTAGCAATAACGAAAGTTAAATATATCCACCGAGTGTACGGGAATATATTTTTGTTGGCATTCAGTCAGCCATTAAGGCTCTACTTTCATATACCACCTACGTGAGTACCGTTAAAGATTGTAAGGTGGCAATAGAAAGGTTAGCAATGGCAAAAAAAAATCCGAAAGAGCCGACAAGCCAGCCTAAGAGAGCGAGCGAAATAAATGATTACACGAACTTGTAATGTACCGCAAGATAGACGGGATGAACTAGAATAGCGAACCTACAGATTTCTTGCTATCAATAAGATCAGCAGACTAATGACTTCTATGTAGTAGGACTGCTAATATGCTACTGTCTGCTAGTATGCATGGGTTCGAACTAGGTCTATTTTCGATATATCATTTTTCAGAAGGCAAAGTGTCGCGCTAATACTTGGTGAGGTTTGGCAGCAGGGCCAGCAATCAGCCATTGACAAAAGGCAAAAGTTACGGCAACAATACGCAACTACAATGTTCTTCAACATTGTCTCAGTTTCGTGAGCAAAAATCCACCTAAGACTTAACTGACATCGATGATGTTAATGGCTTCCTAGGAAAATTTACTATTTAATTCCAAATTTAAGATAAACAACAGTGATGAGAGTTACGTCCCAGATCGGTTCTATCATTAGAGAGTATTTTTTGTGGAAGTTGCTAAACGAGGGGATTGAAAATAACCCCTTTATTGTTTTTGATAATTTTAACGATTTAATACATCCTCTGCTGTGATAGAGTCCGTGCTTTGAATGTTTTTTTATTATTTGAACACTGACAAGTAAAAAGTACGCATGTATGTATGTATGAACAAATATGGTATTTAGTTTAAAAACTAGGCTCAAATTTTTGGTACTTCAAAAATACAACACCCTTTTGTTGGTAATTTAAAAACTACACATAAGTTTTTGGACAATTAAACCCTGGCCATAAATTTTTACTCACTTAAAAGCTCGTCAGAAATTTTTGACCAATAAAAAATGGACATCCATTTTTTGGTAACCTAAATGTTTATAGATCGGACACAATTTTTTAGTAGTTTATAAACTGCACATAATTTTTTGGCAATTTAAAAGCTGACCATAATTTTTTCCCCATTTAAAAACTGGGCATGAATTTTGATTAAAAAAAAATTATATACTGGATATAAATTTTTTGCCATTTAAAAACTGGACATAAATTTTTGGGAAACTTAGATGCTGAAGATAATTGTTTGGTCATAAAATTTTTTTAATTTTAATAATTGGGCATACATTTTTTTGTCATTTAAAAACTGAGCAACATTTTTTATTATTTTATAAAGAAGACATACGTTTTTGCCCATTTCAAAATTGAATGCCCATTTCGGTTGTTTGAAAAATAGACAAAAATGTTTGGTCTTTTGAAACCCAAACAAATATTTATGGCGGTGACAAGCACAAATAGTGTTTCACATTTGACAGATGGATAAGAATATTAACAGTAAAAACTAAGGAATGTTAAAAATCTATAACAAGCTTCAAAAGGCTTCTCTGGTGGAATACATTTTGGTCAGAAGCCAAGTAAATTAACTCATTTACATGCGCAGTGTTTTTTGTTCAATTTCCAAGTTTTTTTTTCAATTTAATAGCCACTATGATTTACACCAAATTTTCAGACAAAAAAAAATGTTATGTCCTATTTTTATGCGGCCATAAATTCATGTCGAGTTTTAAAATGACCAAAAATTTATGTGCAGTTCTTAAATTTCCAAAAACTCTTGGCCAGTTCTTTAACTGTACAAAGAATTTATGTCCAACTTTTGAGTTAACAAACATTTAGATTCAGCTTTTAATTTAATTTGTTAGCCGTTGGGCTGTCAATAAAAATGGACTCATAAAAAAAAAATTACTTACATTGCCATAACTCCTCATTGTGGAAGGACTTAGACTGAATAGACGATTTATGTGATGCGTGGGTGAGCAGCCTGAACTGGTGGTCGAAGGCGATATAGATGAGGCGAGCTCGGCGAAAATCGGAGAATGTTCTGCGATACAGAAGAAAACATATTTACATTGGAATGATATTTCGTTAAACCCGCACCAAACTCACCGCTCATGTCAATCGAGGGGGACAATTCCCTGGTGAAGCCAAACAAATCACTGCCACAACTGCCAATGCTGCTGCTACTATTTCCATTGTTGTTGGTGTTGCCGTTACGCACATCCGCCGAATTCAAGGTAATGCTCGGCTTACGCAAATTCAAAAATTTATGCGCACCGCTGGTGGGTGTGGCTGTAGCTGGATGTATCGACAAACCGCTGCTGCTATAGTTGCTACCATTGTAGAGCAACGACGATGCCGAGGATAACTGTGAGGATGGCGAGGAGCTGTTACAAACCACATTCGGCAGCTTATGTGACTCCAATGGTGAAGCGGATTTCGGAAATGAGCTAGACGCATGAAGCGATTGCGTCGGTGTAGCCGTATGGCGCTTGAGGATCGGCGCAGGCGGCAGCTGTGATGGTGAATGTTTATAATAAGTAGAAGAAGCAGCGGCACCACCCACGCCACCATTGCAAGCATTTTGTAAGGCATACGAGTCACCCTGTTGCTTGGGTATTTGCAGACGCAAAGTCTGACGAGCAGCTAGTCTACGTGCAGGCGCAAATTTGTGCGCAGACGGCGTTGATGATGAAGTGTTGTTCGTGTTGTTTGTGTTGTTTGTGTGGTTAGAGTTGGCGTTTGTGGTGGCATTGGTTGCAGTGTGGTGATATGTTGGATTTGTTTTGCTGAAAATGGTGGTGGATTGGTCGTGTGGTATGTAGCTTGAGTTGCTGTTGTTGTTTTGATAATGCGGAGCGTAGTGCTGGTAGTTGTTGTTTTGGTGGTGATGGGTGTGGTGGTGAGCAGCTGACGCCGTCGCTGCCGTCGGCGCTGATGGAGTGACCAGATGTGGCGTATGCATCTTCGGTGGTTAAGCGCTCCGAGAATCGAAAACCGTTGCGGACGCTCTCTGCAAGAGAAGGCTGAGAGATGTTGAGCGAGGGGAGCGCGTAGGTTTTGGGAGCGCCAACTTGATTTTATGAATGAATTTTCACTTCTTTTCTTTGACGCTTCTACGCGCGCAGATATTAATAGTTTCTGCTTTTATTTTTAGACAAGTTTTTTCTACCGCTGAGAGCAAAAAATTATTCTCTGTAATTATATTATTATATTATTTTATTTAACTTGCTCTAACGACCTCTTTCACGTTTTCGCATCGCCTTGTGCAATTCAACGCGCGCCCGTTCCGTCACGTTCGCGGCACTAACAATTTCGATAGTCGCTCATTGTTAAATTAATTAAATTTTTTCGTTTCATTGGCAGCGCTAAGCTCTAAGCCCATATTTGGATTTATAACATAAATTAGCACTTACAGATTTCGCACTTATTTGTTATTCTTTTTCCTTCTGTTTTATTGTTTTTTTTGCGCTTTGGTTTTTACAACGTTTTACATTGGTGCGAAATTCCTTTTTAATTTGGCTTTTGTTTTTGCCAAGTGACGCGCGTCGCGTCGCGCCGCCGTTCACCACCTAATGTGACCCACTTCGAAGTCACGCGCAGAAAGGCAGCGCACAAGGGAGTATGTGAATTGAGTGAGCGAGCGGTGGTGGCGTAGCACGAAATGGCACACTTGGCACCTTGTAAAAGTGCGATTCTGCCGGCCGCCAATATGGTCTGACGCGGTACGCCGCAACGCATCCAATGTACATAGGCAGACAGATCAGACAATCAGCAGTGCAACAAGCGATCCGCTATCGGACAGTTGCCATAAATAAAAGTGTGGGCAAAAGGCCACCGCCACCGACTGCAATGCAAGCACGCAAATATTCGCTTAAACAGATTTGCAAAACTTTTATTGTTTCACTGGCGCTTTGAATGCCGCCACAATACAGGAAAATTGCATTATTCATAAAGCGCGCAGCGGCGAATGCACAGATGCAAAGAGACACAATCGACGTTGGTTGATTGGGCGTGGTGAAGGCACTGGCGGCGCGCGTACACCGGCCGACTGATGAACTTGATTGTTTCTCGGAATATGCGCCACGCACGGTTGTCGCCGCAAATTCGGCCCCCTCATTCGGAGTCAGTCAGTCATCCAATGCGCAGGCGTGGGAGTTGCGCCATTAATTGTGCTCATTTAAAGGCACGAACAACTTGAAAATATAGCCTGTTTTACTTCTTTTATTTTTCACTTTTTTTTTTTATTTATTCAAATTGGCTTTATTCGCATTTCATTTGAGCTGCCTCGATTTTTTTGCTTTCAAAGTGATTTCTCGCACATTTTGTTTGTATACGCTTTACTGCTGTTTGTTTAAATGGATTTTTATCTGTAAATAAAAGAATAAAAGAAACAAAAAGAAAAAAATTAGTTTGAATTCAACTCAGTTCGTTTACGGCAATGACTACACAAAGCAAAAGACTCGCATGCGTTTGATGTAGCACATTTGCCAGCAGAGTTAAGTATCCCATATTGTCTAGTGGTTAGGATATCCGGCTCTCACCCGGAAGGCCCGGGTTCGATTCCCGGTATGGGAAAGCTTTTTTTTTAGTTTTGTTTTTTACTAATTTCTATTTTTTCAATGAATATTTATTTTAAACTTCATTCAAATAAAATGGTAAGCTATGTATCTTACTTCTTTAATAAAAAAATAATAATGAAGTTAAATGAAATTTTTGAACAACAACCTAAAGATTTTTAGAGGATAAAAAAGGTAAAGATCATTTAAAATATTTTTATAATGATTTAAGATATCAAAGAACTTCGTAATAAAATATCCACAATGTTTTTCAAAAATTCACAAATTTTCATCAAAATTTCGCTCTTTTAATTCTAAATCTTTAGTACTCTTTAGTATCTTTTGGGTATGCAGTTTTGTAGCCCCTACATTTTTAGTCTAATGACGGTCTTGCGAATTTTATTTAACAAGAAATTCATATTTACATGGAAAAAAGTGCAAAAATCCACAAACATAAAAATTATTAAAAATCAACGCGATTTTTTTTTTCAGCCTTAAACTTGCACTTTATTAGACTAAAATTTTATGAGCTATAAAACTGCATACCCAAAAACGTTCTAAAACTTCAGATTAAAAAGTTCAAAACGTTGATGAAATTTTTTTGATTTTTTTCCACAAAATTTTGTATGAAACTCCGAATTACAGTGAAACCACCCGGACACTCACAATTCCACAATTTTTGTACGCTTATGAGAGTTGAAGAACGAAACTTGAAGTAAAATTTATAAGCACACTCCTTCGTACAAATATGGACATTTTTTCTCCGTTTGGGCCTTTGGGCCTTTTTTTGTCTGTTTTGGACCCTTCTGAAGCAACTATGCATCACGCCAAAGTATCAGTATCTTTTATTTCTAAACTATATTTGATGGAAATGCCTTATTTGCGCAACTAACTTCCAATTCGGCTTTTAAACATGGTCGCGTATATTGGATATTTCCATCAATTATAGTTTAGAAATAAAAGGGACTGATGCTTTGACTTGATGCGTTTCTGAACACACGGAATATTCACATTTATTATTCTATATAACACATAATCAAAATCTATTTTTATATGGACGAAAAAGCGCAATACCCTCCACAAAAAAAAAAAATCTAAAAATCAACGGTAATTTTTAGCAACTTGAAACTTGCACTTTGTTATACCAAAAACTGAACGCGCTACAAAATTGCATACTCGAAAATTTTCTAGAAGTTCTGAATAAAATTTTTTGAAATTTTGATAGTTTTTTTTTTTTTTAATTTTTATGAACTTTATATAAAGTATGCAACTTTGATTTATATGGTTTATATACATATAAAAATTCATATACATATGCATGTAGGTTTTTGTTGTCGCTGAATCCGAATATGCGGGTCCCTTGATTCTTCAAAGTTATCTAGAGGTCATGCCAAGGTCATCTCAAGGTCAAATTCAGAAGAATTTTTCCCTACTTTACCTTCAAATGACCTCGAACCTGGCGTGATGGAGACTAACACAACTCGGATTCGTATTCAGAGCGTCGAATACCATAGGGATATAGAGGTTACACCTATTACAGCCCTTTCTTCTATAATATTTTGTGTGTGTGTGTGTGTGTGTAGGTGTCATATTTGGACTTTAAAAAAAGTGTCTGTTAAGACCATCTCTAGAAACTAAATTTGCTACCAATTTCAATGAGTATTTTCCAATGATAAATACTGCCTCTACGAACATTGAAGCAAATATACCTTTGCTTTTCTAAATTAACTGCCATTCTCATAAATAGCCATACATATTCATCAAATCACAATAGAATGTTTTTTTTACTGTAATCCGCATTCATATTGGCGCTGACCTTTAGCAATTAAATCCAAGTAATTGAAGCTCAACTTGACCTACAGTACAGTACACGTCCTTTTTCAGCCATTTAACTGAGAATTGCCAGCGAACAAACACAACACGATCAAGAACAAAAAACAAAAAAAAAACACTAAAACAGAATGAAGGCAACAACTCAGCATTGCATTTGTGTTTAACATTCCAAATATTTATTTTTTTTCACACATTTTTTCTTTATGATTAATGAATAAAATTACAACGTTAAATGCAAAAAATATTACGGCCGCAATTTCAAGTCATGCTTGCTTTCAACAAATCAATAGCAACTTCTACTTGCATGTATGTATGTATGCATATAGCTTGGGCGACTCCGGTTGCGTTGACTAGTGACGACTAGCTGTTTGCAAAGCTCGGCAAATATCTTTGAACGCAGATTAGTTAAATCATGCGGAGTTACTTTAATTAGTTAGTTACTGAAGTTTCATTGCTGCAATCAAGCGCACTCAGAGGTGCGTACACAATTGCAATTTCGCAACTGGCGACATTAAAGGCTTAAATGTGCATAAACTCATACATACAGTGCGCGACATAATGATAAGTTCGCCTTATAAGTTTCGACGATTTTTTATTTTTTTTTTTAATAATGTTAATTATTTGTTTATACATATTTAGTTTATTCTTTAAAAAAGCCATAAATACAAGTCTGTGTAATATTAAAAAAAAAATCAACAAACTTTCGTAAAAATTTTAAGCTTTCTAATTATTCGTATTTTCTGGAAAGATTTTAATTTTGAAAAGATTTTAATTTTTGAAAATTTTTGTGTCACTGATTTTTTTCCATACGAACCGTCCAACACCGTCATAAAAAAAAATATTGCCAAAAATCAACGGTATTTTGTAGACACTGCAAACTTGCACTTCATTATACCAAATTTTTCTAAGAAATTTTATTAAAAAGTTTGCACTTTACGAAAGTTTGTTAATATTTCGCAAACTTGGATTTAAATTTTTTTTGTTAAAAATAAACTATATTTTAAGGAAAAATAATTGAAATTATTTTAAAAACAAAAAATCCTCAAAAGTGATCAATATAGAGTGACCTTATCATTATGTCCGGCACTGTATGTGTCAACACACATATACATAAGTTTGTATGCCCACTTGTAGAGTAGGTATTTTGTAAAGCTTTTTTCGAATCCGTGAATTACCGGCAGGCATTCGACATCTAAACAAGCCCCACATGCGTATTTCTTATTTATTTGTTTATAAATATTTAAATTTTTCCAATTATTTATTTAATTTTTTTTTATTTTCTTGAAACTTTTGCTAAGTTCATACAATTTGTTAAATTTGCATAATTGCGCATATTTTCATTAAACTTATACTCATGTGCATACGTATGTATGTATGTAAGTGCATAAGTGATTTAGTACAGTGCAGCAAAATGTGTACTGTGCTCGAACTTTTATGGTGAAGCGCTTTAAATATGTCAAGGCAAGACATGTGTTCGTTTTCGTTGCTTTATTTTAATTGTTTATGTATTTTGTTATTTTCTTACTATTTTTTTTTTTTGTTATTTTGTTATTTTAAAGCTGTTGTGCACTTGGCGTACATTCGCGTAATTTGAGAAATTTATTGAGCTCTTTAATTCTTTATTGCGGCAACCTTTCGCATTGACACTCATTAATTTGGATTTCATTGGACTTTGCACTTGGCGTTGTTGGTTTGTGACATACAATCGATGCAAAAGAAAAACAAACTAAAAAAAAACAAAGCGCTGAGTATTCTATTGTGTCAAATTTTTTTTTCACATTTGTCAGCACCAAAAACAAAGAAGTTGTAGATGCCAAAAGTTTTAGTGGAGAAATTAATGAGCCAAATCTTCTTAATGACAATCCGCTTTAACCGCATGACGAACGCTACCGTTGGGATTGTTAAAAAAAAAAATTTTACATTTCGCATTTGTCACGTTCTCGCAAAGCAGTGACATTTTGCTTTGATAATTTTTGACAGCGCGCCGAAGAGAAAAAAAAAAAAACCTGACAAAGCCAAGCATTACGTCGAAATGGAAAAAAAAAATTTACATACTTATACACCCAGTACACAAATGGTTTCGTTAGGGCAGAATTGATAATTTTTGACAGCGCGCCGAAGAGAAAAAAAAACCTGACAAAGCCAAGCATTACGTCGAAATCGAAAAAAAATTGTACATAAATCTACACTCGGTACACAAATGGCTTCGTTAGGGCAGAAGTGACTGTGCGATAACCATACCCAGCGCAGGTTTTAGTGCGAATATTTTTTTACGATGTCTCATAAAAAAATTTGCTAGTTTTACTTTATTTCAAGAAAGGGAGATTTTTACACCTATAGAGGAGTTTCAAACTTCACCCAAAAAAAATTATGCAGCCTACCGCCTTAATGGTATTCGGGATAATTATTAATTTTTTTCCAAATTTCACTCGATAGATACCGCGTCACCCTGCTGTCAAAAAACTGCCTCAGGCATGGCGTGCATATAGTTCAGTGAAATGCACCTCGGGCTGAAGGACGGAGGTAACCGGAGCCATAGAGAAAAACAGCCATCTGTGGTGTATACGATACCATAGACTCCTCCTCCGA